GGGGACAGGCAGAAAAGGGAAAGGTGGGCAGACAGTCTGCCCACATGTGGAGGAGAAGCCCACCTTTCAGGGGACATGTGGCAACTAACTGCAAAGACACTGCCTAATCTAGGTCATCGGCTAGAGTCAGCCACCCTTCCTGCGGTCCCACAGAAACCTTTCAAATCTTTGCAGTTAGTTGCCACATCTCCCTCAGAGTCTGCTCTCCTGGGCCTTTCACCGGTACTCCTGTGACCAGGCTTTGGTTCCCCACCATCACTGTCCTGGTCACCCTCCTCTGAGTAGGCTGTTTATTACTGTCCTTGGAGCTCAGAGTCCCCAGAGTGATCTGCCTCCAGAAGAGCCTAAACAAGATCTAGACGTGACTCTCTTCCTGATTCCCACAGCTGCCTCCAGCAGCTGCCACACCTTCTGACTCACGTCTCCTCACCTGCCAGCTGGACACTCGAAGTCATATTTATGCCCACTGCTCTCCATCCATGTCTTCCTAGTCCTTGTGATCTTGGCTGTTGGCTGCAAGTGTGGTACACTGCATCTGTCTGCTCCCTCTCTGCTTCCCTTCGGACAGCCTCTCTGCCCATCTCTGCCTTTCCTACCCATCCCCTGACAAGTCTGCTGCCAGGACAGGTGAGATGGGGAGAAACTTCTCAGAGAAAATGGAGGGGTGTGCCTGGGAACACAGTGTCTTATCAATATGGGTTCTAGTCATATTCGAATGAATCCCGTATCCAAATTTCATCAAAGTCCCTCCAGGGAATTAGAAAGTAGATCACATCTTTTTATGTGACTCTTTTACATGGACTCAGAACTACCACAAAGGATGAGGTGGTGGCTTAACTTGCTCCATTCTGGAATTTCTGCATCTCTGCTTCCCTCAAGTCATCGATTGAAGATGTCTCTGCCCATGACCTTACTCAGTTTATGGGCCTCAGCCCCTTCCCTCCCCAGCTCAGTTTCTCCCGTCCAGCTGCTCCCTCTCACCCCCACACTCACTCTTCTTTTGAGTCTCTGAGTGGACTATTCCCCTGTTTGGAAGGCCCTTCCCTCACCTCCCCACCCACACCCCCCTTCCTCGGCCCTGTTCCATATCCCAGTCCTCCAGGAGTCTGTTGGAACCAAACATCCCTTCCCCAGCACTGGTACCTGTCGTAAGTCCCACTGTTCCTGTTTTGGGGGGTCTGCCTGTGTCCTCAGAATAGGCCTTGCTTCCACTCTCAGGCTAGGAGGTCCTTAAAAGCACATTCAGATTTCTCTTCTCTCTGTATTTTCCCTCCCCCATAATATGTCATTTAGTTGTGAGCAACTTAAGATTCAGAAACATGTTCATTCAACATTGCATTCCCAGTGCCTAAGCCACTGCCTGCCACACAGTAGGAGCTTAATAAGTGCTTATTGAACAAATGTATAATTGACTTTTGAATGATCAGCCACTTTAAGGATTAATAAGATTATGTCTGCAAGATTCTTCAAGACTGTGTATTACTTATACAATAAAAAATAAGAAGAAGAAATTTTAACTTCTCAAATATGAATAATTTCAGGTCTGCAGACATTTTAAAAGAAATGGCCTAGGTACCGTGGCTTACACCTGTAATCCCAGCACTGTGGGAGGCCAAGGTGGGAGGATTGACTGAGCCCAGGAGTTCAAGACTAGCCTTGGCAACATAGTGAGACCCCATCTTTATTTAGGAGAAAGAAGAAAAAGAGGAGAAGATGAAGATGAAGATGAAGA